TATATAAAAAAAGCTGTAACACGTTTTCTTTCAAGGTTTCAAACGTATACTAAAAAATAAAAAGTTTTATGTCTAATAAAATCCAGCAAATAACATTTATATTTCAACAAATGTACTCCAAAAAAAGGAAAAAAATCATTTTATTAAAAAATTGTTTTTTACTTTACGTAAGAACTCAATTCTTTTTCAACGAAATTCGATTGTAAAAACCTGACATCCATTCTGTTTGGTTTCTAGTAGCAATTTTTAACCGTCGCAAAAAAAGTTTTAAATATATTTAGAAAGAAATTTTTGCTTCTTTTTGAATTAATCCGTAGTTCAAAACTATCAAAGACCTAAAGAGATGCTCAATAAAAAAAGCTGTAAAACGTTTTCTTTTAAGTGGTCAAGCAGATACTAACAAATAAAAAGTGTTACGTTCAATAAAATCCAGCAAAAATTATGTATATTTCCGCAACTGCAGTTCAATGAAAAGAAAAAAATCATTTTATTACAACATTTTTAGGTTACCTAACGTAAAGAATTCAATTCTTTTTTAACGAAACTCCATTGTAGTAAACCTGACATCCATTCTTTTTTGTTTCTAGTAGCAATTTTTAACCGTCGCTAAAAATGTTTAAATATATTCAGAAAGAAATTTTGGCTTTTTTTTAATTAGACCGAAGGTTAAATCTATCAGATACATAAAGAAATGCTATATAACGAAAGCTGTAAAACGTTTTCTTTTAAGTTTTAAAGCTTATACTTACATATAAAAATTGTTATGTCTAATAAAATCTAGCAAATAACATTTATATTTTAAAAACTGCAGTCAAAAAAAAGGAAAAAAATCATTTTATTACAACATTTTTTGGTTACTTAACGTAAAGAATTCTATTCTTTATTAACGAAACTCGATTGCAGTAAACCTGAAATTTAATCTGTATTGTTTCTAGTAGCACATTTTAACAGTCGCAAAATATGTGTAATATACATTTAGAAAGAAACTTTGGCAATTTTCTGAATTAAACCGTAGATCAAAACTATTAGATACATAAAAAAATGCTATAAAATAAAAGCTGTAAAACATCTTCGTTCAAATTTTCAAACGTATACTAACAAATAAAAAGTGTGATGTCTAATAAAATCCAGCAAATAACATTTATGATTCAACAACTGCAGTCCAAAAAAAGAAAAAAATCATCTTATTACAACATTTTTTGGTTACTTAACGTAAAGAATTCAATTCTTTTTCAACGAAACTCGATTGTAGTAAACCTGACATTTAATCTGTTTTGTTTCTAGTAACAAATTTTAACCCTCGCTAAAAATTTTTAAATATATTCAGAAAGAAATTTTTTCTTTTTTTTCAATTAAACCGTAGGTTAAATCTGTCAGATACATAAAGAAATGCTAAAAAACAAAAGCTGTAAAAAATTTTTTTTCAAGTATTCAAGCGTATACTAACAAATAAAAAGGGTTACGTCTAATAAAATCTAGCAAATAACGTTTATATTTCAACAACTGCAGTCTAAAAAAAAGAAAAAAATTATTTTATTACAACATTTTTTTGTTACTCAACGTAAAGAATTAAATTCTTTATTAACGAAACTCGATTTCAATAAACCTGACATCCATTCTGTTTTGTTTCTATTAGATATTTCTATCTGTTGCTAAAAATGTTTAAATATATTTAGAAAAAAATTTTTGGTAATTTCTGAATTAAACCGTAAGTCAAAACTATTAGATACATAAAGAAATGCTATATAAAAAAAGCTGTAGAACGTTTTTTTTTCAAGTTTTCGAGCGTATACTAAGAAATAAAAAGTAGTATGTCTAGTAAAATCCAGCAAATAATATTTATATTTCAACATTTGCAGTCCAAAAAAAGGAAAAAAATCATTATATTACAACTTTTTTTTGGTTACTTAACGTAAAGAATTCTATTCTTTATTAACGAAACTCGATTGCAGTAAACCTGACATTTAATCTGTATTGTTTCTAGTAGCACATTTTAACAGTCGCGAAATATGTGTAATATACATTTAGAAAGAAACTTTGGCAATTTTCTGAATTAAACCGTAGATCAAAACTATCAGATACATAAAAAAATGCTATAAAACCAAAGCTGTAAAACATT